GCTGAAAGTCATTGACTCCTTATGATCGTTTTCAAAACAAAACTCATGTTGAAGGAAAAGGATTTGTGGGACACTGAGAAAACAATTTTGGAAAACAAAACTAAAACATTTCATCAAATTTGTTCCAGCAACATCTGTCTTGTTTGAAATCAGGATTATCTTGAACAGGGGAAGCGACCGTCCCCTGTGTTAAAACCTTATCCTGTTGTCAGAGCATGCTCATTACGCTCTGAACACTCCCTCTGCTGTTGTGCAATCTGTGACAAAATGAAAGTGTGCTGTATTTTACTCCAAGACAAAGACCGAGAAATCCTGCTTTAATCTTTGTGCATGAAGGAGGCGGCTCAGCACTAACAGCTAAACCCAGTATCAGCTTTATGCTCCACTGAAGTAATTAGACTCTCCAATCAGAGGGTTTCCTCGTGAGCATGATGGCACTGCAGTCTTCCCTGGCTTTTGCTTATGAAATTTATGTCAGAAAAAATGTCTCAGTATTCAAGATCTTACATGTAACAATGATTTTGCTTTCACGATTGGTTGGTTTGTCTTGTTTTTCAATAGACGAGGACAGGAAGAAAATACAGCGAGCATGTTTGGCATTTTACTGACAGCAGCAATAACTTGGTCTCTAATGGCACTTCCAAGCTTTGAATGTGAAAATATGAGTGAAGGAGTTCTGACAAGACAACAACGCCACAGTAATCTCTGTTTGATTGAATAATAACCCATGTGTCTGAACTGTTCAGCATCAGTGTGTTTTGACTTGCTAACAGCTAAATGTGGGTCTGTCTATTGACTGTGGCATACATTTTCAGTTAAATGTTTCACTGTGTTTTACATCAGAGGGCCCATATTACACCATTTTCTGATGTATGTTATAATGTTGTTTCCTCATCACATAACTGTGTTTTATTTGTTTCATTCACAGTTCACTCACAGTTCTTCTCTCAAACATAAAACACACGTTTTACACGCTCCACACACCTTCACTAGAATAATTTGGATGTTTTCAGCTCTGGTATTGCCAATCTCTACTGAACTAAAAGTAAAAGGTGGAGCAGAGCATTTTGAGCTTTGGAGATGCAGACAGACTACAAATAAAGGGTTAGTCAAACATGTGTGAATGAAACAAAAAACAACTCCAGATATGTTTTTGAGCAGGTTACAAAATAATATGGCTAAAAGCTCTGAAATTATCCAAATGTTTCTAGTTGAAGGTGTATGGTGTTTAAAAACACAGAGGAGCACTATTTCAGCCTATTTCAGCCTAAATATGCAGAGTTTGTGTGTTAAACATGTGAATGAAACAAAACACAGCTCCAGGTATGTTTTTGATAAGAAAATGGCATATTATGGACTCTTTAACTTTGTTTCTCAGATTTGGCGTGCTAATGTCACTCACATAACTGTTCTCCAATCCTTCACTTCAGTTAAATTTATTGTTGAAGTTAAATTTCTCAAAACATTTCCTGGCGATACAAATATAGCTTCTCCATTGTGTTCTTTCACACAGCTGCACATCCCTATGCGCACCCCAATTGTCTCTAAAAATATGTTTAATCAGTGTTCTCATTCTAAAACTTACAATGGCTCTGTAGCTTTAATAGGCTACCAGCTTTGTGTTTTAATCGTCTGAAGCCTGAATCTAGCATCTCCGTTCAGTGTGCCCTTTTGTTAGGATTACATTAATACCTGCTGCTAATCTGCTTATTATTTTGCACCTTCAATGATCACTCCCATGGCCCAGGAAATGAACGCCACAAACTGTTAAAGGATTACAAAGAAAGGCAATCTTACTGTATGGTGAAATGAGACGCTCCCATTGTAGCCCCGTAATATACACGGAATATCAAATCTGAATACCAAATGTGCTTTCTCTATGCTAATAAGAGCCACACAAAAGTGGAAACAAATGATGAGTAGGCCTGTCACGATAACAAATGTTGAAGCACAATATATTGCTACGCAGCAAAAACTAAAATCTAGCCAAGTTAAGGTTACTTGAATGAAGACTTTTTTTTTTTTACCATGACTGGAGTAAATTTCACTTGATAAGGAAAATGATCTACCAATGGTACAAAACTTTTTCTGTATAAAATGTGAAAATACCTCCTGCTTAGCTCGATGGATATGTCGGCAGTAGCTCAGTTGGTAGAGCATTCACTCACTGATCTGAAGGTTGGCGGTTTGATTCCAGCTCTCAACATAAGAAACATCACAGGTTGAGCGGTCACATCCACTGAGCCACAGGTTGGCTGGTGTGATTCCAGCTCCCACAGATGAATGCTGTCATTGTGTCCTTGGGCAAGACACTTAACCCACCTTGCCCACGGTGTCTGCGTACACTGGTGTGTGAATGGGTGTGTGGTTCCTTGTTGTAAAGTGCTTTGAGTGTCTTGAATGTGGAAAAGTGCTATAGAAAAATGTGACCATTTACCATATGTCATTGCTTTGTCTGGAACGTTCCACAGTATGACATTAAACTGCTCTGCTTTATATTTATTAAATTACAGGTGGTTTTGTAGCTCAAAAGGAGGATTGCCTTTCCACGCCTCTTCTTTCCACCTGACCTGTATCTTGTTTCCATGGTGTTAGAAAGGTTTAATACCATACTGTGAAACATTCCAGACAAAGCAATAACAGAAAAACTATTTTTAAATAGACAGTATCATTGAAGGTGCACTGTGTCACTTTTCTGGTGGAGGGTCCATCAAATGCTTTTCACCATGGAGATATTATTGCTTTGTCTGAATTGTTTCACAGTGTGGTATGAACTTTTCCATCATCATGGAGACCAAATCAAACCAAGTTACAGATCAAATCTGTGGAGAGGCACCCCCGCTAACGTCAGAATGTCTGTTTTTCTAGATATTTTTTTGCCTGGAAAAATTCAGACTCATTGCCGTACCAGCGGCTGATATGGATCTGTATAACAAATATAGAGAGAGATCCTTCTGGATTTCCAGGCAAGGTATTTTTGAGCTATAAGACCACCTAAGATTTCATAAATGTAAAGCAGAGCTACTTAATGTCATACTATGAAACATTCCAGGCAAAGCATCCACAGAAACAAACAGGTGATGGACCTCAAACGAAAAAGTTACACAGTGGACCTGCAACCATTTATTAGCCATAGAATAAATGTATTCTACTCTCTACAGCTCAAATCTTATATTGTTCAAATTTTTCATATATTGAACAATAAGTTGATATGTAGTTATTATTGTGACAGGCCTAATGATCAGCTTTACTATGAATGTGAAAAGGGTATTTTTGTTTTGCAGGTAAAAAAAAACAAAACATAAAGTGTTGAGCTAATGCCAACCTGCTTTCATATATAAAAGACAATGAATGATTTGAGATTAAATATTGGCAAACAATTTACTGCATTTTTGCATTAAAGCCAGCAATGACCTCTGGAGAGATACACACTTATTTTAATTGCATTTAGAAATATTAAAATCAATTCATCTTAAGTCCTTTTATGGCTTAAATCCGAAGGTTTGTTTGGTATTGATTGTGGCCCGAGACAGAGTGATTTCTGCTTTTAAAATGTTCCAATTTCACCCAATTTATCTGAGTTACAACAGCATTAAAACAGAACTGCAGACCAGCGCAAGTCAAGCAGCTAACTTCATGAAGAATAAGCTGTTGTTTTTAAATTACACATAGACTTTTATGGATACATCTTTATTTTTTGCTACTTATTGAATTTAATGTTACCATTTTTATTGTTGTTCTTTGTTATTATAATTTATTGTAATGTGTGAGCTACTGTGTCCAAATAATTTCCCCTGTGGATCAATAAAGTTTGTCAGAGTCTTAAGTTATTGCTACTAATATGCATTAGATTGTATCCAGGGTTCATTTGTGTCCAATAATGCTGACAGGTCACTACTGCTTCTGTTTTCACTGCACAAACTGAACATAAACATTTATAGAATTTAAAATGATTCAATTTCTTTATGTTACATTAGTCTGTGCATTTCGCCATTTTGATATAGGCTGGCACAACACTGGCTCTTAACTTATAATGCATGAGATACAGCTTCCCTTTTGGTCCATGCTTAGAGCAAATTAAAAAGCACTTAGCTTCAGTGTAGTTATAAAGACTGTTCCTGGAGTTGCACTGTTTTATGTGCTTTGTCATACCTCTAAAGATTATTTACTGAAGGTAAAGAGCTGAGAAAGCCCGTCTTAAATTCACAGCAATTAAATTTTTATTATTAATGAACGGGGCTAAATAAGGTACAGAAAAGCATTGGGTAATTGTGTGGGTTGTGTTCGGAGCCATTATTAAAAGTCTGTTTATTTCTCTCACAATAAGCACTTTGATTTCCCCCAAGTCACATAAAAAAGCTTAAAATAACAAAGCACAAGGTAGTGAAAAACTTCTTGTAAATACAGCAAACTTCAAAGAGCAAATTACCTCAAATTTAATATTCGCTTGCAATTGTAAATAATAACTTTCATGGAGTAAAGGAAAAAATAAAAAGCAAAGAAAACTTGAAAACCATATATGGAGATATTGTTAGTATTAATATATTGTACATCATTAAGAAAGCCTGACCAGCCAGTCCCTTCTACATTCTGTCTGAATCCAGAAGGGAAAGGAATCAGACAATAGAGTGTGAAAAACCTCGGTCCAACCACAGCCGCTAATTTGTAGCACGTGTCTCTCAAATGCAGAAGATATCTCCTCTCCAAAATTCTCAAACACAGTTCAGAACAAAATATATAACTTCTTTCTCTCTCTTTCTTCTCTCTCACTTGTCTTTGCAAAGTTTTGCGAAAGCGTATGGTCAGGTAAAAGTAATGGCTTTTTGAAGTGAGACTACTATTAGAAAAAATAAAAAAATAAAATAAAAACAGACCACTAACACAGTCTGAAAAGTGTGGCTGTTTGCAGTACGTGTTCTACTGACTTAAATAATGGTAAATTGGGAGTAAACAGATGGCAGCATTGAGTTTCATTTGGTTTGGAGGGTGTGGGTCCTTACCCTCCATGTTGCAGCCCGGGGCCATGCAGGGCTGAAAGTCCTGAGTGTGGGGACAGGCCACACTGAGGTCCAGCTGAGCCTTGAGCATCCTCTGCCTCATCCTACGACCTTTCTCACACGTGGAGCTGCTGCAGGCCGACCAGGGGGACCAGCCCGAGTAGATGCAAGTCTCTGGGGTATCATCTGGACAGGACAAAAAGGTCGACAATGTGATTAGCTTTACATGGCAACATATAAAATGACTTTTTTCATTTTTTTTATACACAACTTTTCCACTTTCAAGGCACTCAAAGTGCTTTACATCGAGGAACCATTCACCCATTCACACCCGCACTCAACCCACACCAAGGTGGGCTAAGTGTCCTGTCCATGGAAAGTCATTAATCTGTGGGAGCTGAAATCTCACTGCCAATCTGTGGGTCAGTGGATCTGACTGCTCTACCAATGATGTGTATGTTGAGAGCAGAATTTAAACTGCCAACCTTTGGATCAGAGGACACGCCCTACCAACCCAGCTATTGTCATGATTATGGAGTAAGAAAGCTTTCAGAAATACTCATGTGCATAGGATAGAAATCTGTGCATATTTGGCTGTAGTTGAGCATAAAATAAATATTCATAAACTCTCAGTTGTACATAAAATGTATTATGTGTATTTTATCCATCAGAACAAGAATTGAAAAGTTACACCATCAAGAATTACAATCACAAAATGAACATTTACGATTACGCTTTCCTCAGAACAGTCAAAAATACATCATGACTTTACAGGCATGACGTAATTATGGTACAGGAGAAACATCAATCATGATGATGACTTTTGCGCCACATATTTACTGAACCAGGACTGAACCAATAATAAACCAGGACTGATCCCAGGACTAAACCAGGAGGACTAAACCAGGATTGAACCAGGACTAAAACAGAACTAAACCAGGACTGAACTAGGCCTAAAACAGATCTAAAACTGGATTTTCATTTGATGTAATTCTTGATGTCGTAACTTTTCAATTCATATTCTGATGGATAAAATACACACAATGCATTTTATATACGACTGGACTTATTTGAGAGTTTGCAAATATTTATTTTATGCTCAATTATACCCAAATATGCACAGACTTCTATTCCTTGCACACAAATATTTCTGAAAGTTTTCCTACTCCATACATAATATATCAATGTTATATGTCTAATATTTCAGCCAGTATACATGTTATATTATATATCAATCTTGCTGTTGTGGCCAATACCTAATATATGTCAATGACAATATGAATATTCTTAAATCTTTCACAGGTTCCACAAACCGAAATGAACTTGTAATAAAGTTCACAATTTAACTTTTCACTTATGTAAAAAACAAAAAGCAGGTGTTTACTTTGTTGTAATTTTTATGATGATTGCACTATTTGATTGCGCACTGAGGACAAATTAGGATCAGCACTTGGGAACACATAGACTGGGAAAGCTTAGAAAAACAACATTAAGTGTTACACTTTTCTAATGCACAATATGAACTCTGTAGTTTGTCTGTTACTACAAAGATGCCCACCGTGTCGTGATAAAGAACAAAGAGTAACTGTTACCCAACTACCTGCGCAGAGGTTATACAGAAATAACTATGGAAGAACACACGCCACTTAGCATTAGAATTATGACAGACAGAGTATGGACCCATCATTCTTACACTTAACCCAAGTAATTTACAGAAATAGAAGCCCTATATGTAGTCAGTGTTACATATGCACATACAAGAAGCAGACAGATGCTATAGTAATAGTAATACACTGCATGTTTCTTGGTAAAAACAATACATGAGTAAACCTGTGGTATCTTAGTGATGGTTATTTGATTTACAATGAAAAAAATGCTTGAAAATGGGACTACCACACTTTATATTGGCCCAGTTTGATCACTTTATGACAACAGAGATACAGAATCTAGTGACCAAAGCAATTTTCTTTCTTAGTAATAAAAGTATGGACTAGAACTGTAGACATATGGCAGCTTTTTATTAACACATAAAGTGCTACTTGGCCAAATCTCTTTAAAATAAAATCTAGTAAAAGGAACAGGAAACATCTCCTTTGTCCATTTAAAGTTCACAGTTACCTATAATAACTGTACAATTACATTTGGAGGAGTTTCACTGGCAAAACTGGACTTTGATGTTAAGTTTATAGGGAGTGTAAAGTATCCACAAACTTGAACAAAACAAACTTTACTTCCACTATGGGCTTTTATAACACAAGCAGCATGGACAGTGTGATGAATGCGGGAGGTAGCACCCACGAGGCTGCGCGCTGACTACAAGGACAGAGATGGTGACTGGGAGAGGGGGATGATTTGTGAATGTCTTGCCCAATTATCGGAAGCAGCCGCACCAGAAGTGTAGTCCCTTCAATTAATAGCAGTCTCGGGGGATGACAGCAGCTGAGAGAAGAATAGACTTATCTCCTATTGAGTAGCATAACATTGGACGACAAGCCAGAACCACTGACAAAAAGCATAGAGGGGCACATTTGTTGAGTGAAGACAGCGTAGACCACAGGGAGCAGTCGAAAGCTTGTTGAAAAGGGTAGACAGGTAGAAGAGAGGGAGGGAGGGAGGGAGGAAAGAGGAAAGCATCTATTTGGAGACTGAGATCTTGTTAGGATTTCCGCTGAATGGGCAAAAAAAGCAGCAAGCTTCAATTACAGGCAGTTCCTCTTTAACGTGAGCTGTCACAAACTACGGCAGGGCACAGGGCTAAAGACTGGACTACTGAATTCTGTGATTGAGTCATACAAGCAATTCAAGCCATGGCCGGGAATGAACTCTGGTCTGGTTAACACAAGGATGAGGATGAGTGCTTCACATCTCGCCCATTTCCGCCTCGTTCCAGAAACAAAAAACACATAAAAACACATGAAACACAAAAACATCAGACATCTCAGTTCAGAAAAGTGCAGTACTAGGAACAGCAAAGATACTGTGCAGAACTCTCAAGCTCCCAGGCCTTTGGTAGAGGACCTGAGCTAGAGGAGAGTGAGAGAGACCAACCACCGTGGAAGGTAAGGAACAATTTATATGTGTAGAGAGAGATTAAAGCTGTTCTGTAGTTGCTTTAAATTCTAAAAAACAGGTATAAGACACATTTAGGTGATATGTAACTATACAATATCACCATCGCATTCAAAGGAAATGTAATATATAATACAATATTTTCAGTCTCTGTCCTAGTATCAGATGATATGGGACATCAGCAGATACTTAAAGCCAAAGTATTGACAGCAGTACAGTCGTCCCTCGCTATATCGCGGTTCACAGATTTTTTTAGTGCAATTTTGCATGCTTTTTTTTTTTAAATGTATGAGCACGTATGAGCACATATTATGTTCCTACCCCTGCGTCCTGATTGGCTAAGAGATTGTAGACCATTGTCAATCAGTCTCCTCCGTGCCATGTCTAGTGTACAGTACAGAATGCATTCAGCATACCAAATTTACAAAAATGTTCAATCGCTAGCAATGTGATTCTGAAATGCAATGCGATTGGGCAATTGCCGCGTTTACTGTGAGGTGCGAAGCTCTCTGTTGGTCCTTTCTCCTGCGGTCACCTTCGAGCCTGTCCCGAGTGAGTCCTGGTTCATTCCTGGTTTAGTCTTGGTTTACTCCTGGTTTACTCCTGTTCCTGTTTTAGTCGCAGTTCAGTCCTGGTTTAGTTCTCCTCTTCAGTCATGGAATCAGTCCTAGGTTAGTCCTGGGTTAGTCCTGGTTTAGTCTTGGTTCAGTCCGTGGTGTATGTAGCGCAAAAGTTTGATATAATCTCAGGTTAACGGGCAGGTGTTGTGCGGTGCTGTACTGTGTGAGTGCGGGTCTCCAAAAATGGACCTGTGCAGGACTCTGCGCTGTAGGGCTCCATTACGGAATAAATTAATCTTCGGTTTGTTACATAAAGATGGAGGAAAATAACATAAAGACGACAGCAGCAATAAGTTTTAAGAAGGATGCAAAAAAGGGGTAACTGTCCTGTCTGAGAAAAGTGTATAAAGTGTGTGGTGAGGGGTTTTTACAGCCTTAAAACATATATAATAATTATAAAATATAAAGTTGACTACTTCGCGGGTTTCACCTATCGTGGGTTATTTTTAGAACATAACCCCTGCAATAAACGAGGGACCACTGTATAGGAATAGAAAAAGCTGGAATGGCGCATCCCTGTATAGAGTGCAAAGTATGTGTGTAGAATCCAATCTGTTTTTCCTTGTTTGATACCTTTTTTCTTCTTATATTTGAAAAGTTGTACTGTCCTTACACATAAATTTGCCCTAATTTGTCTGTATTTTAACCATTCCAACCACAGCATCAGGGAAACCAGCAGGATCAGGTTTCAGCCACTGTGCAGCGCCAGTCTCGGATTTGAGTTGATGGGCAAAACCACACAAACAACTTGCCAAGGAATGAATATGGGACCCTTTTCTTGTGAGGTGAAAGTGCTACCCATTCAGAGTTTGTTTATAACTGTAGTTTGTTTGTAACTGTATTCTTGTCCGAGAGATTTTACACACTTCTTGTTTGCTGTTAATGTTGGGGGTCACAGGTAAGGTGACTAGAGAAAATAATTGTAGGGCTGATACATATGTTCCAATATACACTTTGAGTTACTTCATATATTATCTTCACATCTTTCTATAGCAAGAATCAGACGCTCATAATTCTCACTGTAACCTAATAATAATATACGGGTCAACACAGAATGAAGCAGAACAATTTGTACCATTATAGTATTTTCCATGATGTTGTCCATGATGTAATGACGGTCCATAGATCTTTTATGTTGTGTAGCGAGAGAGTCTATTTGCGCCGTGTCCCTGTGCTCGGCCTATATTCAGTGCAGTCCATAACGAGCCCCGTACGCCTTCTCTTCTGTGTGTGTTCTTGAGCGCAGTACCACTCCAGACCCCTGCTGTGAACTCACTGACAGATGTAAGCTCTGACTCAAACAGACCAATGCAATACGCTGCAATGACCCCGTGTGCTATGTTGACCTTATATAAGTGTAATCAGGATGCACTGTGTGGGTCCATGGGTGAGAGCAGGAGGCTATGAGCGTGGTAGATGTGAGGGGAAAGGGATGGTACCTTCTTCTTTCTCCTCTTGTCCGATATCAGCCACGATATCGTCAATAGTGTCTGGGACCACGTTACATTGCTCTCCCTGAAAGGAAAAAAACATATCAAGCAGTTTATATGTAATGAATCTACAGTTTGCAAGAAGTTCTAAAAGCCTGTGTACTTTTGAGGTAGAAATGCACCAATTCAATACAGGTATCAGATATCAGTGCAAAAACTGAAAAAAACTGCTGGTGTCCTGCCAATTTGAGCTACCCGTCGATTTGAGCTACCTTTGCGAACAACCCCCAGAGGCAGATTACTTACATCAGTTGATTGAACAGATTGGATTTAATATTTGATTTTATCGCTATCATTTTCATTTACATCATATTGTATTTTGTTTCTATGTGTAGAAAACGTTGTAACGTTGTTTGTTTAGAAAGGCATTGTATAAATAAAATATCACTATATTAATTCATTTCAATTCAATTCAAGTTTATTTCTATAGAACATTTAAAACAACTTCAGCTGACCAAAGTGCTTCACATACAAGTCAACATTATAATAAGATATTCACACTGTAGCCTATGATATTTATTTAACATAAAGATATTGTGGGAGCCTTATTTGATAGAAGATATAGGCCTGTCGAAATGAGCTCCTCTACCCAAAGTCATCTAAAGTGAGAGCATTATTTGATAGCTAAATTCCTGTCGATATGTGCCCCTTTGAGAAGAATTTGATTGTCCAAATGAACTACCAAAGCATTTTCATATAAATGAATTGAAATTGAAATAACTAAAGTTTAAAGTTTGATCATTGTGTGCAAACAGCATCAAACCTGCTGTCTCTAATCCAAAGAAATATGTTGTAAAACAGGGTAGTGTGAAACGATAGACGACACTGTCAATTTTGGCTATGGATAGCTCATTTCGACAGGGCAAACGGATCAGATATGTGTTCAGCTGATCAGACTGTTTACTGGTGGTAGTCATCCCAGAAAGTCTCTTAAAAACTCTTATATGGTTACTCAAGGGATAAACAACAGCTACAAAACTGGATCTGTTTTGTCTTATTTTATTTTACTTTAGCGAAAATAAATGCTGTATTGGTCAATATTGGGTTCTGGCAGATACTTAATGCTATAGTATCGGTATCGGAATTGGAACTCAAAACTGGTGCATCTCTACTTTTGGGCATGCGATCCAGTCAAAAAGAGACAAATCATAAGCAAATCACTGGACACTACAAATTAGTGGATTTATTGGTAGACAGCTGTCTGACTTTTTCTCATTAAAATAATTTTTTTTTTGCATTTATAGCACTTGACAAGAGAAATGAAGCTGTGATTGTACCTTCCTGGCGATGCGCTCCACAACCACTCTGGCCACTGGAGTGATGGCCCCTCCCTCGGGGTCATAAAAGGGACTCTGGGGGTGGTCCAGGCTGGTCAGGGGCCGGATCTTCTCCTGAGGAATCGTGGGCTTGTTTGGAGACTGCAAAAACCAAAAACACTCTGCTAGAATACAATTATATGCTATTACTTTTGCTTGATAGTCAATAAAAGCATTTTAATTTGAGCGAAAGAACTGAAGACCATCAGACCACAAAACATAATAGAGTATACTGGTGGTACTGAATGTTTAATTGCTCAAAGAAGAATTTGAAAACACAAATTAAATCATAATGTGTGATAAAAGTGTGATAAAAGTGAATATTTTAGTTGTTTTCGTGACAAACTGTCCCCACGGTCTTTGGAGCCGTCTACACTGTCATGAATATTCATCAGGATGGCAGTAATCACATCAGGATTTCAAGGAGGTAGATTCCCACCTCACTCTTATGCGTTAAGATTCTCCTCATGTCATCATTGAGCCAATTATTCAATGTGAGCAGTGATGGTAAGTCCTGGAGGAGCACATCTGAGCCACAGTTTTAAACACACCTGAGAGCTCTGGGCGCAGGCTTAATAATAACGCTAAAAGACAGGCTTATGCCATGGGAATTATTAGAGGGAAAAGAATACTAATAGTAGAATAGTACAGCAGCAAACACAGAAATGTGAAAATCGAATGTGATCATTTCATTTCTGTGGATTAGTGATTAGCTTAACCAATTAATTTGCCTTAACCACACAAAAACAATTGGTTGGTATGTCTATAAAAAGCAGTATTTACAACAATAAGAGAAAGTCCATCGCTCTCCACATTTAAATTGCACCTTAAACTGTGAACACTCTTAATCTGGCCTTTTACTCTTCTGTGTTATGTCTCCTTGTAGCTGCTTTGTATTTTGTAATTGTTTTCTGTGCCACCAGCCTAGGGACAACAGATGGAAATTAGCATTCTGGCTATAATCTCTCATATTTACACTGTAATTACAGATGTTCATTAATATGCACTGTCCCTATCAAATAAATAAATAATTACGTAAATAAATAATTCAATTTGGAACACATTTATGGTAAGATAAGACCAAAGGGAGCTTCATTAGACAGACTGGCAAAGGAGTTTATGTTAATATAAGGTGCTGATGTATTCACTAAACCTCAGTGATGTGTACCACTGTTTGTGTATGTATTGATCAGATGTGTACCACTGTTTGTGTATATATGTGTCCTTCCAAAGTTTCAAAATGACCAACATAAATGATTCTCTTTGTTGTGCCTTTGTAGTCGTAGCTTTCTGATGGAGAATATTCACAGTGGACAAGACAAAGGAAAGTGAGAACAAAGCGGTGAGAGCAGCACCTGTGTCACTCTTTGTAGGCAGATACGTTTCATTTAATGTGCAGCTTTTGCTTGTTTCCAGTGGGACAAGACAAGACAATACTCAGGAGCTGTTCAAAAGAATGTATAAAGTGAAACTATAGAGCTCTTTGAAATGTACAAAGGTCATGTGGAGATGGGGTCTACATGCAGGTGGCAGCCATTACTGCTCCATCTATCAGAGGAGCAGTAACCTTGTCTCTATGACAGATCTTATGAAGTTATCTAGTCATGTCAAACGATTGAAGATAAAATTAAGTTATTTTTGAAAGATAACTCGAATAAAAATATGTGAAGAGCTATTATACAGTATTAAACAAAAACATACTCAAAACTATATGCTTGATTTGTGTGTGTAAGACATAAGATCACACTTTCTGGTACAATCTGTTCAGGTCCAGCCCAGATTATGGTTCATTTTTATATTTAAATATTCAACTTTGACACCATTTTGATTCCCAGTTGTGAAATCAATTCATAATCAACCAGGTTTGACAATTTATGTACTAAGATTATACCAAATATATGGGTAAATAATCCTAGAGTTGTGGTGAACAGTGTATTTACCAGTGTGAGCATGCTGTTTTTCTGGCTCAGTACCTCATATGTGATGCCTCCGTCTGTGCCTGCGTCCCAGGGGATGAGGTCTGTCACCAGGCGCTGGACCCAGCCACAGTCCTTGGTGCAGAGGTCTTCTCCGGACAGACCCACGTTCCAGTCTGGACTGGGCCCCAGCATGGTCAGAAAGGACATCAGGTGACGTGTACGGTCCACTGAGAACTCTGCAGAGGGGGCAGCTCGTCTGGAGAGGGGTAAAGACATGCCAATATGAAAAAAAAAAAAATCACAGGCTATGGAATAAATGAAAATAAAGGTTTGGTAGAATTGTCACAAAACCCACAAAATGTATGTTCTCTTTTTATGCAGCTTATTAAAACTGCTCTATGTTACTTTTCTGGTGGAGGGCTCTCCACCTGCTCACCTCCATGGAGATGTAAATGTTCTACTGTATGGTGTTATACTAATCTAGATATTATACTAACAACTGCAAAATAGCTACACTGCGGAACATTCAAGGCAACGCATTAACATCTCCACAGAGACAAGCAGGTGACTTAACACCAGAAACTGTATCACATCAACACATTACAGAGCATTACAAATAGGTGATGTTAATGCTCATTTGGAGTGAGTACACACAGTATCTCAGTGGAGGATGGCAGATTCAGCAGATGTTTGCTGAGAGATACATTCCATTAGTGAATTTGAATGGGCATAGAGCGCTTCAGGCGAACACTGATATGTTTTAATTGGTGTTAAAGTCATCACTAAAGGCACACTCAGTCTTTTTTAGGACCCACATAAAAGAGTAATCATTTTTTAAACTATGACCTCCCAGTGCTGTTATTCCTTTAAACTGCCACTAAACATGACTCATAAATGCAACAGAGCTCGGGATCAAACCGGCCATGTTTGAAGCAAGCGTGCCACATACCAACAGAGATGCATTTGGCCAAAAAAAAGAACAATGATATTTTGGAGCTAATGGCATAAACTTTCCCTGGAGGTGTGAAGCTAACTGAAAGCACTGCTCTGTTTGAAACTCTGTCAGACAAAACAAAATATTGGACTGCACTGGAGGATTAACGCTGATAACCGATGCTCTAAAAAATCAACTGTCTGGCAACTGTCCCAATTTTTCATCATTCAGTGTGGGTAGGTTATCTTTTGAGCCTCTTTACTTCCTCCAGTCTGTGTGTGATAAAATTAAACATTTGATTTTTATTTAAAATATTACTAATTTGTTTTTTTATGATTATTTTCTTTTATTGGATTTAAGTTTAATGCATGAACATATTTCCTTTAATGATGCATTTTGAGCTGTTCCAGGACAAATATATTTCACAACAATATCACAGAATGCTCATATGTACATGAGGAAAACCTCCAAATACTACTAATTTATTGTTGAGCAAGTACAGACAGATATTAAAGGTCATATATTATGCAAATTTTACTCTTGTGAGCTTTAAGGAGCTGCAGTTTTCAAGTTAACAGCTACATTTTAGCTTTTGTTCAGTAGAAATTGGAATTGGAATTCCCTGGCTGAAATTAGCCAAATGATTCTAGTGAAGATGCATGGAGCTTAAAAACACAGTGGAATACATCCTGCATTACCGCAAGACATTAAAAGGTGGAACACAGTAGTAGTACTTTCTTACTGCTAATTGTTCTGTCCTCCCCTTTGTGCTGTACTCTATTAAAAGTACACTTAAACACATTAAACTTGAGCCATATAATGAACTGCTTTATTACAATGACCCCATCACCTTTTGTAGTTAAAACCTGTGTTGCATTAAGGTGAATGATACTCACAGGTTCAGGGGCTGCCAGGCCGGCCACTGAGCTTTGGTTTTAATGACTGTCAGGACCTCATCTCCCTGCGGACACACAAAAACAATGGAACGAACACAAGTTATAAGAAGCAATTTGTCACCAAACTAAACTATAGGAAAAACACTGACAAAGAAAAAAGTGAGAAATGGACAAGGCTGAGCACTCCCATTTGAGGAGCGCCGAGTGTATCCCAGGTTTCAGATGTGGAGGCTTATAGGACCAGGGCCAAATGTGTGTGTTATCAGAGCAGGATGGCTCAGTGCAGTTCTGTAATAGCTGTCCGTCACTGTAGGATGGCTCAGTGTGCAGCCACCCAGCACTTCTGCAGTCTCAGAGGAGCAGGAGGGCCTTACTCTGCAAAACTATCAAACTATATACGAGGCCTGAGGGATAAATGGAGACAATAGAAGACACTTATCTTCAGTCTGGATCATAGACTCTCTATATAAATGGACAGCGTTAACCCACTAGCCACCGTGTTACAAAGAGGAAGTGAGCATGGGGGCGCTTCCGGCTGCTTCGATTCTCCGCTCTCTCTGTAACTGCTGCAATGAGACTCGTCATTTTGGTCTTAAATTGACTCTACATGATACTGGAGTTTTTATTTCAATATTTTTATATGCCACTATTTTGTAATCCTTTATTATCACATAGATCAGAAAAGAGGATAATATGAGCCCTTGAATTTTGAAAAACGTGCATTCCTATTTGCCGCTCCACAAATCTGGCATGCAACTTGGCCTGGTGGTGCACCTCCTGCTTGTTTCCATGGAGATAAACAATTTTAATATCATCCTGCAAAAGCTAAAACCCTCCAGCAGAAAAGTTATACCTTGTAAAAAAGGCTTACTAGCCATTTTGTGGTTTTAGTGGCCACATTTTTCTTTGTGTATTTATTTTACAGAAATTATATTTACAAGGCTTGCACTTTTGGGGTCATTTGGTGACTTAGACAGACTAAACAGCGTCAGCGAAAAGTACTGAGCTGTCAGATAAATAACCAAGAATAAGTGATGGTAAAGTCAGGCCTCTTTTATGTTGTGATCGATCTCAAACTTCTCCCCTGAGTTTACTGCTCTGTCTGCTGTCAACAAGGACCACTTGAGTGTGGCTGCACACAGCAGATTGATGGTGATGGGCAGAAACAATAGACCTGGCTCAGACAAAAGTAGGAGTGCCATCAACAGGAATTATAAAGGTATTTTCTTTAAAAATTTCAAGTCTCAAAAACCCAAAAATACACCGCAAGAGAAGGGTTAAAAGTATAATAACTTGTTTTGTGGTTTACCCAAGGCTCCACACAGACCTCGAAAGCCTCAATAACTACACTAAATCTTTTTTGTTGATAGGTGCCTATCCAATAAAATTCTTCCAAATAACAAGACATTGAAAACGTAACTGTGCATGGATCTTTGGGCTGCGGAATAGTTGGTTTGGGTTGTTTCTATTATAACTCAATCTGATTCCACAATGGCAAAATTTGAAATGATAATGTTGACATTTGATTGTATTACACATCATCAATTTAAGTAAGGCCTAGGACATACTGCACATGGATTTCACCCTATGCAAGTGTAAAAACAGTATGTTGTGTATACATATATATTAGAATGGATTAAAAGTGAATGAGAAGGACCAGACTGCCCGTGCTGGGTGTGCATGTATGGAGCAGTACGTGGGTTTCAGAAAATAGAATAGAACTTATGTTTGACACTCTAGGTTAGTGTAAGATGTGTAACTCATCCAAAATACACAGAAGGTGTGCATCTGTTACATTTGTGCATTTACCATCAGCATGTCTTCCTGGGGCAGTTACGTATTGTTTGAAAGAGCCCAGGTTTAGAAAGAGTGATCATTTGTGCTTTCAAATTTACTTTGGAAATCCACTATGTTCAACCTGTACAGACTTGAAATACAAACCTATTCAGCTATTTATTTTCACTGTAAACGTTACAAATGGCTAAACGCTCCCACTCTAGTTTGATCATCTTTCCCATTGACAAACACAGAGCCAGTGCCATGTGCAGGCATCGTTCTGGAGCTGCTGATGTGACCGTCCTCATGCTGACGTGCTGCTGGTTTGATGAGGTTACGCACATAAATGCTGGCATGTGCAGTGTGTTTGGGGCCTAAGCCTGGATACAATTATGACATACTGGTATTATTAGTAGTCATATATTTATAATGTAGCAGTGATACAAGATACTATTTAGGCCCTTACTGATAATATTTAGGCCCCTAACTCCTGTATTTGGTCTGCTATGAGAACATCACTGATCAAAAACAGAGCAGCCGGGTGCATGTGTGTAAACGATGAAATACAAAATTATAGGTGGTCAATGCCAGTCAAGTCTTAGTTTCTCTCCCCAAAAGAGTTATGACATGTTCCAAATAAATACAATGGGCTTTAACCATGACACAACCATTACCATTACAGCCAAACTCTCATGAAGAATACCATTTATTTATGTATTTTATGTAGTTATTTAAAACAAGAACAGCTCACACAGAATGCATTGATCTCAAAGAAAATGAATGGTCTGTGCCAGATTTAGCTACAAACTACTTTACATCTGCAGTCCTTGGGCAGATGCAGAAGGCTTTAAAGAGCCTATTTACATCAAGCCACTACTGAAAACAACATTTCATCAATAGCAATGTCTCCTTAAAATAACCACTATTCAATGCATTATTAAACATATGAACAGTAAAAATTAATTGAGACTAATTCAAATATATACATAGATCAGATTCATTCATCATTATCATTAAAGTTTTTGTCCATGTTTTGTCTCCTGCTTCATGTTCGATTCAAACCCTGGCAAAGCTTTCGAATCTTCCTGTAACTGCTTTGTTTGTTTGTGCTAATTATCATAATAACACCAAATGACTGCGATTTATCCATGTCCAACAAAAACATTTGGAAAGGAAATGGAACAAAATTAAGTTAAAAAGAGAAGATAAAAGCAAAGATAGCAAAAAATATGTTGTCTAACACTTTCAACACTGCTCTGTTTTTGTGGTGCATTTGAAGTCACTTCAGTACACTAACATTTGTGGTAATGGGGTCATCCAGCTGCTTCTCCCAAAGGAGGTGTTACTGATTTTCCATGGAATGTTCCACAGTACAGCTTTAAATATATCTACCTCCATGGGGACACCACCAAGACAGATCACAGGTCAAATCTGTGGGGAGGCAAGCGGGTTCACAGAAAGAAGGCATGGTTTTCAAGATACTTTTGAGCAATAAAAACACCAGTAATGAAATAAATGCAAGATAGATAATTGACACAAGATTGTGCACATTCAAATTGATCGGCCTTGCAGACATTAAAGCAGACATATTATGCAAAATAAACTTTAATACGCTTTTAACCATGCAGTCATTTCTTTTCACTTATTAGCCGATTATCTGGATTTTTATTTTGAGTATTTCATGCACTTTTGAGTAATTCTGTATTGTCCTGGATTCAAGGCTTGAGTGCTCAGAAAATGTTAATTCTCATTATATAAAAAAAAATCTGACTCCAGGTCATGTACAAACGTTCATAAAAGATGCGTAGCCATTTTTCAATAATGATATCACGCATATTAAAATTCACTGCTTATTACAATAAAACGCCACTATGAAGAGAGAAGGAGGAAGCCAGCAGCAGAGAATTTAACAGGAAACCAATAGACCTTTTTCTATTATTAAGTCACTCATTTAAGATCAATACAAGTGTTTACAATGAAGTAAAATTATGATCTATGTACTATGTGATGGTTTAATAACAAATACCTGAAATAAATCATCACATTACGTCTTTAAGCTGTCTGTTGCAGTGTGTTACCTCAGAACTGGTCTGTTTAAATGTACGCCTCCCCTTAGGCCTCAGTGTTGTCCACTTTATCACAGTGGAATAACGTTATACCTGGGGGCCCGGGAGCGACTGGAGGACCAGGTGGAGCCGATGTATTGTGTTACCAGACTGGGTCTAATAAGAGGAAATGAGGCTGGGGACTCTGGGAGATGGTGTTCAATAAAGCATCAACACAGCACTAATACTATTACAATTAGTCATACATAGTGCATGGCGTAATGTAGTTTGATACAGTATAAGCACGTGGTCATAAGCCATCAATAATGCTTTTCAGAAATACCTGATGTGTCCAGAGAGGCACTTATTTTTTCATATATATATGTATTGTCTTTTACAATTCAGAAGGCAGTGATGCTCACTTTTTTGAATCTTTTTGCTGTTTGAGCTCAGTTTTTGACATTATATCATGGGATTTTAACCATCTACAAGGTACAGCATGTGCACAAAGGACACAAGTGAAGGCTGTTGGATTGTATGAAATTAATTGTTTGTTTTTTCCTGTATCTATGGAGACTGTGCAAGAGGAGCAAGAGGAGGCAGCAAATGTGGCAGAAGACCTTCCAGAGGAAATACTCAGAGGCCTTCCAGAAGAAATACTTTGAGGGAATGAACCATTTCATCACCAATCAAAACAACAGAATGAAGTGAGAATGAGGTCTGTCCTGGCTCTTCATCTCCTTGGAACTGCCCTGATACAGGATCTGCTGACCCTGCCTGACCAGTCCTTCTGTTATGCTGCACTGAGACTTTTGGCTGAAACACAAAGGAGACTGAGGAGCACAGAGTAAATGTTGCTGCATCACTTGACTTTCCTTCGGGATCAATTAAGTCTCCCTCTCTCTTTCTCTCTCTCTCTCTCTCGTGGCATCTTTAACACAACCAGAGTGGCACTAGAGATATCATGTGTCCAATTACTGTACATTCACCTGTCCCTCAAGCCCTCAGCTGTAATCACACAGTAGAATATGTTTCCTTCAGCCAGCGCTAAAACTATTAATCTAAATAAGCATCTGTAGCATCTAAGATCCTGGAGGAGCTTTTCAGTACTGTATGTTTATGATAATTATGCATCATGATTGGATATATTTTTTTTATCGTGAGTGCATAACAGTCTCTTATGTGAAGAGGAGCCAAACAGATGTTCTATCAATAATAAGTGTCAATAAGAAGTGTTTTTCCAT